CCAGATCAAATGTCACCTCCTCTGAGAGACCTTTTCTGACCTCCCTCCAGAAGTATCACCACCACCCAAGGAAACTCCTCCCGAAGCCTGTCACCATCATATCACCCTAGTCTGCATTGCATGCCACCCTCCTTTAGTTACAAGAAGTGGAAGACAAGAATTTCATCTTATTGGCCACTGTTTCCTCAAGTACCTAAAGCAGCACTAGGTACACAGCCTGTGTTCAGTAATTATGCACTGAATGGATAATGGCAGCTTTTGGAAATATTGTCAGCTAGAGCCAAGCCCAGAGAATAATTTATATAATTGAAGTCAAAGAAATGTTAAAGAATATTGAGAACACTTTCTTCTGTAGGACACAAAGAGGTTTATCTACTTAACACTTACCTATTATACAGCAAAATCAACTCTTCTTTTCCATTTTATTTGACCTTTGGTCTAGGACCGAATATGGGAGTAGGAATTATCCTAAAGGGAGTGCTACAAGCCATAGTTGCATCATTTGAGAAAGTATAGCTCCAAGGTGAATACTTTGAAGAGGATTACCCAGCCAGCTCCTTAGCAGTCTTTTTATAATTATTTAAAATATGCTTCATTTCATAGCCTCATCAGAATATCCCTTCAACATTACTCAAGTTTCAAGCATGAACTCATATACAGTGTTAAGTCAAACACTGTGCTGCAAGAGTGTTCTAGGAATATTGTGTAGTAAAGTTGAAAGTCCAAGAGTTAACCTGACTATTCCAAGGGACTATAATTCTACCATGAGCTCATCACAGCCCAGTGCAGATGGGGAAAAGAGGTGATTCTACATTTGAGACTTGTAGCATTTTCTAAATATTGGTTTAATGTGCCCTAGTGATTATAATTCTGAAATAAGCAGACTTAAAAAAATAAACACACTGCACAGAATGATTCTTTTTGTTTGCTTTCAGTTAAGAACAGAAATCTTCAATACTCGATCTTACAAACTCTCATTTCTCAACAGCATGGCTAACATTAACTCACTTAAAAAAAAAGCTATCTTTCATTTTACACCTCTACCTTTCTTCATGAGCACAAACAAACCATTCCTAACCTATCTAGGTTACTACCATAGTTATAAACACCAACAACCCTGGATCCTCAATGTGATCAGGTAAGTTAGAAGTGAAACAAGGAGTGCCCGTCTCCAGGGACGCCTGGTACTGAGTACTGAGAATTAGCAAAAACTGGATTGCCACTTACACCCCGTGATGCTGAAGGCTTAATGTCGATCCACCGATGTTTAACACAGCACAGAGGTTCATTCCTTGTTTACAGGAGATGGGGGATGATCTTGGCGACAAGTAATTCACCAGCTTTGTACATTAGGCTGATTTCTACCACTTCTTCCATAATATTTATCAGCAAATGGCACCCTAAGTTAGAGCTGCCATTAAAATAAAGGACCCAGGCCCTGGCCAGTGTGGCTCAGAGCGAAGGCCCGCACACCAAAGCGTCTCCGGTTGGATCCCCAGTCAAGGGCATATACCTGGGTTGCAGGTTCGATCCCCAGCCCTGGTCAGGGCATGTTCGGGAGGCAACCAATCGATGTGTCTCTCTCACATCAATGTTTCTCCCCCGACACCCCTAAAAATCAATGGAAAAAATATCCTTGGGTGAGGAGTAACAAAAAAAAGCCACTTTCACATAATATAAGCTAACATTTAAAGGCAAAAAGATGTATCTTAAAAAGGAGAATTTCGAATAATTTCCTTAGGCTAAATAAAATTTAAATGAACTGGTCCAAGTCAGTCACTTCTTCAGACTTAATTCTAGGACATTTCAGCTGACACGTGTCCTGATGGGATGATTTTATATTACAATAAACTGAAATAATGGGGCTTCCTTAGTCCTTTGCCAAGGTTTAGTTTGAAAACCAATAATGTTTTGAGTAAAAGTTGAAAACTCAGGCTCATTTAAACAGGTATCAGCCTCTGCCCAGCCTTTACGAACTTTGTACCATTTCCTCACACCAAACTTCTGGAATGATCCCAATCCCAGCTTTTATGTCCAGTTATTTCCCTCATTTCAAAAGAAACTTTCCACGTACCTAAATAAAAACTGCAAATTGCTTAGAATGGCTAATTTCTGTCTCTTAGTCTAAATAAGTACTGACAATTTCTGAGACAAAACAAGAAAAATAAAGGAGGGTACTTTCTAGTGAGGACTTGACAATTTGGGGGTAGGGGTGGGAAGGGAGAAGAAAGCCACAATAACACCTATCAACTGCTTTATAGTTTCTTAAACATGAACAGATTGTCCTTTTTGAGAGGCCAATAAGGGAACTGATACCCGTAAACTGTATCTGGCTGCAGAGAAAGGGAACTGTCCACAATTATATAAAAAGACATAATAACTATATAAAAAAAGGAAAGACTTTGTACTTTACCCTGAGAACGCCACCGATCTAAGACTCGGAAAAGAGGAGGATTCCAAAACCAAGAGCCCTTACAGCAACATCCCCTCCCCTAAACTTAGGGAAATAGCACTGATATCCTAGCTAATCACTTCCCTGCAGAGTTTGGCAGAGGAATTCATCATTTGAGAACTAACTAGAGCTTCAACTACAGAAAGTAAAAACAAGGGATTCTGCACGTATTTCTTTCACACTCACATCTTTCTATGACCTGCTAACCCCCTCCCTCCCCAATCAAAGTCTGGACAGATAGAAGATAGATTCTCCATAGCTAATTCTCTAGTGCAAGGCCCTTCTGTTTTCCTCCATACACACTATTCCACTTTTCTAAGGATTCCCAAGGACTGGTAGCTCTGAAAGAAAAAGCATTATGACCTAGGTTGATTTTTAAAACCAAAGTACAAATGACCCGGTAATTAACATTTTCTTCCTGACATTCAAAGTGCATTAGACTATCTCCCAGGCACTGTATGCGCCACTCAAACAGTTTAACTGCATGTCAAAGAACCCTAATGCTGACAGCAGATCAAATTAACCTGTGAGCACTAAGAGGTTTACTGTACTAAATTTGAAACAATGACTGCACTTTACAAATTAATTGGGACACTGCTTTCATCCAGTCTCCATAAATGTGATTCCTATATCCTGCAGGTAAATTACATCACTAATACCACCCCCAACCCCCACAACCATACAGCCCCCCTTATCTACCCAGGCTCAGTACTACTTTCTCTCCTGGACCTCTCTCCACTTCCTCTTCACCTCCATTAGGCCCTACTTTCATCCCTTCCCTCAATCAATTTACATATAGCAAATAAATAGTTTTTATAGAGAAAACACTACATACGTCACAAGATATAAGTGTACCTGTTAGAAACTTCCAGGCACCTCTGATTTTATGGTTTAACTCACTAATCAGAAGTACCCATTTCTTTAAGTAGCAAAATTGTCACAGAAAATGGTCCAAGTCCTGACCAACTACCTAAGCCTGAAAGCTGATGGGAGGGCGCAACTCTAACCTGCTCCACTGAAGCTACTTCCTCAAGCCTAGATCTGACCTCACTGCCTTTCTTCCTCTACTCACAGGCCAGGGACACAGCTGCTTCCTTCTGGTGCTGCGCCTCCCCCCACTCCCCTCCTTGCAGAGCTCCTCCCTTCTATTCTTGCTGCCAAGTGGGAGGCAAGCTCTTCAATCCCCCTTCCTCATGGCCTCCAAAGACAGTGGCCAAGGCGTTTTATGGTCTAAAGGGCTCTACTGCCAACCACTTGTGTTCCTTCTAAGGAACACAAGGTGTGTACGTACAACCCTGGGGATGTTACAGCACTTTCAGAGTTACTGCAATTGTGGTCTTTGGAGCTGTGGTTTCTGTCCTGAACCAGCAGCCATCACCTGGCTTAACAAACCTTCTTTGTGTGTAATTAATCTAAGCAGATGATTCTAGACTTTCAAAATCTGAGAGCCAGGAATTTTTTTTTTTTTAAGGAAAAAAAAAGGGAAAAAGAAGAGGCACAAAACAAAAAGGAGGCGGCTAACTGGCATATGGTTACATTTTCCTAGTGAAGGACAATAAAAACAAGCAAAAGCTCACCATCTGCCAGTGCCACAGATGAAATAGGGTTTTATTACACACAAAAATCCATCCCTTAAACTGTAATAAATTTACTTTTTCAAAAATCTCCTTATATTGTTCTTTTTTTCTTATTTTGCTATGAAGAAAGGAAAACAAATTGCACCAAGAGAATGGTGGCACTGGGGAGTGGTGATCTAACTTGTCCCACATTCAGTCATGGTAAGAAGACAAAATTACCTCTTTACCTCAACTATAGTTTTTAAAATACTCGATCCACAGCAATCCCCCCTCCCTATACATGGAACAAATATTATGTCTAGAAAATAGCAGAAGGCTGGAGCCGGAGCCTGAACTTGAACCTGAGACAGCCACTCCACCTCAGTAACTGATTAGATGCTGAAGGAGAGAAAGGCCTTCTCATTTAGTCCCTAAACACCACTTCTAAGTGTGTGAAAAGAAAGACCTATTAGTTCAATACCATCAAGAAATGACAAACTGGGTCAAAATGCTGATTTAAAAATCTTTATTATGTAGTTTAAACTGTTCCAAAAACCCAAAATATATCCGGACTTACTTGGCCTTAATAAAGAAGAGCTGGGCAACAGGACTCATTCTTTAAAACTAGGCCAAAAAGGTGGCAGAAAACCTTTAATTGTACACACCCCTCAAGATGTTTCCAAAAGCTGAAACTACTTAAGATTAAAATTCATAATGCTAAAATCTTTATCTCCCACAGTTAACATGTTAATAATAGCTCAAATGCCTTTCTTTTGAAAAAACTCCTTAGCTAACTCTCCTATGGTGCCTAAACCTGCAACAGAACTTAATCCAAATATAAATGTAGGTCATTTCTTCCCTCTACAACACAGCAGTATTTGATGAAAGTCATCACTTGAAAGCAGGGGGGGAAATCCAAGCAATACATTTACATGGGAAATTACTTTTTTTTTTTTAAATAAACTTTTAATAAACAAAAGCATTTTACTTACGACGTGCCCTGCTGAGAATGAGGGTGGGTTTTTGAAGATGTATCATATTGTTCTATGGGGGAGGGAAAAAATGATTATTAGAGCAGCACAGTGACATATATTCATGAGATTTTTAGTTATAAACTCTTTTTTGCTGTGCCCCCCCCACCACCACCACCTTTACACCTAAACACTCTGTACATGTAAATTCTGTCCACCAGAGTGCTAAACACTGTGCTTGGTATAATCTCACCATTATTTATGTTACTTCTAGAGAAAGGGCTTGCTCAGAATTAAAAACCCTTAACAGAGCAAGAGCACTCTGAGCGCACTCCTGCAGAAGGCCCTACCACACCACGGGGAACGCTCCTGGGAACTGGAGACTTTCCTTGGTGCAGGAGGTGGGGAGGCGCACGTGGAAGCACCATGCCAGGGCTGCTCTCACCTCCTCCTCATTTGACCTCAGGTATCTATCAGTGATTTGCTGGCACTCCATCCGCAGCCTCTGTCCTTGGCCAAACCTGCTCTCCCTACCACCTGTCCCTCCATTATTCAACACTCTCCACAATTTATATTCAACTGCCTGGTAGATAAGATGTTCAAGATTTTTGACCCTGTCCTCAATGAGCTTACAGTTGACTGAGGGACATCAACAGGGCACAAATACCTACAACCCTAGGCAGTGTGAAATTAGTCCACAGATTGATCATAAATTAACTGTCCCAGGAATCTAGAGAATGGTCCCTCCGTTGGTAATGATTAGAGGCGACAAATTAGAAAGGGAACAAGTGCACTACATCACAACGGATGGGCGAGGTTCTGACAGAAAGACTCTGGCAGGAGAGTGAGGAAGGTCTTCGCGCAGATGAGACCGTGTGAAGGTTAGAGGGGGAGGAGTTAAAGCGGCACAGGTTTGGAAAGGGTGAGGCTGGGGAGCAGAATCTGTGGCGATCGGCATGGAGAGCCAGGTGGAAGAAAGGCTTTGGAGGGCTCTGGGTGCCAGGGTGGGAAGTTATGACTATTTGTTGGCAATGAGACACACCCAAGGTCTCCCCAGGGCCTCGAGCAGCTACCCCTCAGGAACAGTACCGTGGAGTGCAGCCTGGGGTAACCTAGAAGGGAGCAGGAACCGTGAACTGTGGAGGCAGCAAATCAGGGCGAAGGCTGCTGATTTTGCTTGAGCATGAGGTGACAGGGACTGGAGACAGAATTCAGGGTAGACTGGAAATACGGATGCCTTTTAGGCAAGGGTGGTGACATTTTTCACAAATGTCATGTGGAGACCCCTGAATATCTGCAATTAATCGCTTTATCCTCATGGTGGCAGCAGCTCTTACATGATGCTTTTAGACTGCTTCCCTTCCAGCTTGGAAGCTAGGGCCAGGGCTGCAAAGGGGCTAGAGTCACCCCCTGACCACTCACGGACCCCCACACATCCTGGCCGGCCCTCAGCCCCACGAGGCTCTGTTACCCGCAGCCAGACATGTTTGCACACATGGACGTGAACACTGGGACATACAAATAAAATCCCTGTACTTTACTCTCTGGACTCTACAGACCCCCAAAACCATAGACCCTGTTTCAAAACATCTGAATTCTCTTGCTGGGCATACTTTGAGAAATATGTGTCAAGCTCCACCTTTCTGAAAGCTGTACCCACATAAACTCTATTCCCTCTTCATCCAACATACAACTAGACCTCTTTAGGGTCCAACTAGGCCCCATGCAGACCACATTTCCCACCAAGGTAAAAAGGTTCCACAGAACATGGACAAAGCGGAGGCAGTGTATAAGACCCCAGGGTAACCATCGGGTGAGCCAAGACCTACAGGAGACCTGCCGGCGAGTGAAACTTCTCGTCAGGGCAACAAGAACTGGCCCCCATGACTCCACAGGCTGAGAGGACCACGACCCATACCTGGACAAGGAGCACTTACCAGTCCATCTTCAACTACATTTGCTAACAGGGGAGATCAGTTTACAGGATGAGAAAGCCTTTCTACACCAGGAGCTGCCATCAAGCTGTAACCCAGTGGGAGGCACAGGATCTGCACAGCTGGTGGCCCAGCAAGTGAAGGTACAGGAGCACCCGGCAGTCCAGCCCGCTGAGCCGGGGCCCCCCGCAGACCCACGCCACTCCACCCGTGCGCTGTCTCTGTACAGGCTGCCGGGATGCTGGGAAAGAAAGACTTTCCAGTCTCCTCGAGCAGCCATCGATTTTTGTTCATTTTACCTTGCTACTTACACAACTTACTGTGACAAGATGCCCAGGCTTATTTCTCTGTATTTGGGGGAAATTTAGTTAGTTTTTTGCCAGACCTTATCTAGTATCTCTAGAGCAGAGGGCAGCAAAGTTTTTCTGTAAAAGTCAGAAGTACATTTTACACTTTGCATGCTATACCTTAAATAAGTGCGCGGGTATGGCTTTGTCTATTAAAAAAACTAGCTGCAGAGCAGGTTGAGTTTGCAGGCTCTAGTCTGCCCAGCTCTGCTCTAGAGGAAGGATGCTCTGTTTCTTGCTTTTCTCATCTTTTTACTCTCTTCACATCCAATTTAAATAATAGAATAATCAAGGGGGGTAAATGTAAGTAAGGGAAAAGAATGAGGTGGGAGATGTGAAGAAGAGTCACCTCCATGGGACATCTACCTCTGACCTCCCTCTCCTGACATACAACATACAACCTACTGTGGTCCTCCCCATCCTTTGAAGATTAAAACTTCATAACCTGGGCATTTACCACACAGTATTAATGAATTAAATGACTGCAAATAGTCTAGTCAATTTTGTAAGGCCTGAAATGCCTTGCATGTAGTTGGGACAGAAAGAATTTATCAGGGTTACTGAAGAGAAAAACTAGATACAGTTAGCTTTCTTCTGTTTCCCCCTGAATTTTTAAGTACTTACAATCCATAAATGGGGCTCAAAATTGAATTATATAGCAAATACATATAACGGGGCTAAAGAAGCTGTGTGCTGTATTCTTCATAAAAGTTTCTTACTTTTTTGTAATAATAATACAAGAACCGCACAAAATATCCCAACCCATTCTTACACAGGGGTGAGCAAAAGTAGGTTAACTGCTGTTTGACTGGAAAAAGGCATGCAGATTATGATTATTACAATAGCTTTATTAACGAAAAAGAAAGTCACTCACAACTGTAAACCTACTTCTGCCCACCCTTGCATACAATTCCTGGATTACAATGCTTGAGAGTCTCATTCAAGATGTTGACCATGTGTCAGGTAATAGTAAATTATATTTGTTAAGGACTTTACTAAGACAGCTTCATGAACTCTGCAACAACTTGAAATTCCATCTAAAGAGCAGCTCTATATTTGCCCTGCCCTGCGTTCCCTTTCAACACAGGAAGCCTTCATCTCTGCTGGGTATTTTTCATTGTTTCTTTCGGTGTTGCTGTGTGTGTTTTTTTAAAATATTAAGCCAGTCAAAACAAAGCTTTGTTCTTCAGTGCAATAATCAGTTCCACATATTTACTTACTTTGGTTTTGGGTTGCAGAACTGATGTGCTGAGAATCCTAGAAATAAAAATAAAAATCTCCACTTATTAAGATTTATAAATCTAAGGTTGCATCACGTCTAAATCTATTCACCACTGATAAATCTAATTTTTACATAAAGTAGGTTTTATTGCTTCCCTTCTTTCCTAGAGTTTATTTTTCCTTTGGTGAGTAAAGATTTTTTAAAAAAATAACAAAGTATATATAACGTTTTACCTTAAAATCAGTAATAATGAATCATCTTTTTAAAAAAACTACCATTAGAAAATATGTAAAGTATCAAATGTAGCAAATACTGATTTGGGTAGACATAATCTCTTTTGAAAACATTATTGAAAGGAATAGCTACAATTTATTAACAGTGTACATGTATACACCAGGCTAGACAGAACACCGATCTGAAGATAATATTTCTATATTCTGAAGGCTATCCTAAAGTACAACACCCCGCAAAAAAGAAAAATGGTAATGATTTTATTTTTAATACACTACTCACAAATACTACAACAGAAACATGTAAGTCAGCTAGTGATAATGCTTGTTATGAAAACCAGCACAAGCCCAGCTGGGCATGGCTCAGCGGTTGAGCATCGATCTAGGATCCAGGAGATCAAGGTTTGGGTTGCAGGCCGGATCCCCAGTCGGGGGCATGCAGGAGGCAACCAATCAATGACAACTCTCTCATCACTGATGTTTCTATCTCTCTCTCTCCTTTCTCTCTGAAATCAATAAAGATATATTTTAAAAGCCTGGCTGGGCGTGGCTCAGCAGTTGAGCATTAACCTGGGATCCAGGCGATCGGGGTTCGATTCCCAGTCAGGGCACATGCCCGGGTTGTGGGCTCGATTCCCAGTCAGGGGCATGCGGGAGGCAGCCGATCAATGACTCTCTCATTATTGATGTTTCTCTCTCTCTCTCTCTCCCCCCCCCTCCTTTCTTCTCTCTGAAATCAATATATATTATAAAAAAAAAAAGATATATTTTTTAAAAAAAGCACAAGTATAGCTGATCACGTTAAACTTTAAGAAAATTTAAGTGTGAGTAGTATAAGATGTATGTATGTATACGTATATATCTAAATTCTAAACTAGGAATCACACAACCTAACTCACTAAACTTTCCTGTACCTGTTTTCCCATCTCCAGGTAATGACCTCAAATGAGAGAATTTATTGGAAACTCCTGAATGCTTTCATAAGCTACAAAACCGTATACAAATGTAAGATGTTCTTACTGACATAATTTTGGAAAATAAGTGTTTGAAAGCATTATGAAACACTTTAAAAGTCAAATTAATTGCAATATTAACCTAATCACCAAAGAGTTCAACAATAACTGACTAATCTGGGTCACTGCAATCATGCCTCAGACTTTTTCACTGTGCATGCAGTGCCTGCTAACTGTGAGGAATTACCTTTGTGGGAAAAGGAAATTTGGAGGGCTCAGCTGTACCAGGCGTATGTATTGCTGTCAAAGGAGGAGGCCATGAGTGGGTCATTTCCTGAAAAGAGATTTGGGAAGGGAAGAAAGTCAATTATAAATAGAACATTCATTACTACTTAAGTTAACTTTCTAAACAATGTAGAATGGATTGATGGTAAATGAAAAGTGAAACTTTAAAAGTTATTTCATTTACTTTTTAAAAAAGTCCTACTTAATGCACTATGTTCAAAAGCTGAAGATGTCCAACTTACAAAACTGAGGGGGGGAAATCAGATTGAAAAAAAATAAGAGCATAGAACAGGAATGATCGTAACACTGAATATTATAAAGAGTATAAAGGGTAATAGGTCTTACCAGAGCTTATATAACTATGAAAACAGTCTCTGCTCAATGCTTTCTTTCTCCCTCAGCTTCTTTATTGCATTTCCTGGAATTATTTAAGTTCAAAGAAAGAAGAACTTTCCTGTTTGACTTAAGCAAACAAGTAATTCAGGTCACTTGTTCCTCTTGGGAGAGTTTTAATGGATTTGACCCTTCCCTGATCTACACTATTAGTACGTAAGAACTGTTTGGAAGAGAGAGCCTTAAAAAATTACCCTCCCTTCCATTAACAGAAATTTAATTTCTACTTACTCTTCATAGAGGCAAGGTTTCTAAATCTTACAAATTAATATATTTATCTTGATATCTTTTTTTCTAAGCACATTCATAAATTATATTTTACTTTGCTAAAAAAAATTATTGGGAAACAATGTCAAATTAAAGGTGCCCAATCACAAATATGTGCATGTGCACACACACACTTTGTTAAAGAGCTAAAGTGGCACCAGAGATCATTAGTTTCAACCCTTCTGTTCTACAGATGAGAAAACTGAGATCCAAAACGACTGGACTGCGTGCCCAGGAAGCCAGTGGCTGAGAGCACAGGGTATGGGCCTCCTCCCTTTCCAGTCTAAGAGAAAAACATCTATCCCCACATGTATTGAGCAAGAACAGAGTGGATGCTTTGAACACTTTTGACAACCCAATATGGAGTCACTATCAGCCATGACAGTTATGTCAAGTGCTATGTCAAGACTGAGGTAATGGAGTATACGTGAACGCCCTTAGGAGGGGCCCGGAATGCTCAAAATCACAAGTCTGGACACTCGAATAAAGACTTCATCTGGACATTGATATGGGTGGGACCCCCACCCACTGGGGGCTATAAGAACTCAGAGCTCTGACTGCCTGGTGGTCGAGCTCAGCTGCCAGAGGCCATGCCCGGAGCCCTACTGAACTCCCACTCCACCCAACTCGTGCACCACTGTAGCTGTCTGGCCTGAGACCAATGCCTGCTTCTCTACCTGCCGATGCCAGTGAATGGAACTTTGCACTGGATGCTTACTCTCACTTCTACCTGTGTGTGGCTTTACTGGCTTACTGGAGAGGCCTCCCCTAATAAACTTGGCATTGTGGAAAGACACAAACATGTGTGAGTGACTCCTTTAGGGGATGCTTCCTTGCTCACGATACATGTGTCAGACCTGCCTGGCAAACTGGCTTAAAGATCGACAGGCAACTCTCTACCAGCAAGCTGACGACCCCAGATCAGGCTGGAGTACCTCCCCTGTACAATGCATTGTGTATTGTAACACTCATTCTTTTCAGAGTGCTGACCAACCTCTCTATGACCAAAGAAACACCCACTGATCCTCCAAAAGGCTGGACACAGAGGTCTGCAGGTAATTTCCAATCCCAACCTCGGTTCACATCTTTCCTGGCCTGTCCCCATAGTCACTCTCTGGGTTGCTACAGCCCAGGTTCGACATAAATGGCCTGGCATGGTAACAAGCAGAATAACTGATGCTGGCTTTTGTGAGTAAATTTTATTACAGGTGAAAGCATCCCCTTGTCTAGCCATTGGCTTAGTTCAGTAAAAAGGAGAAGTTCTGTACTAAAACATACTGGAAACACTAAGAGCTCTGGAGCCAGAGACCCAGGTGGGAATCCTAACTCTGACCCTCACCAGCCATGTGAGCCCAAGTTCTCTGAGCCTCAGTTCTCAATAACAGGTAGACTAAAACCACTTATTTTCCAAAGTGTTATGGGTAATTTATGTAAAATGCTTGACTACATGGTGCATGGAAGGCACTTAAAAAATTTAAAACATTACAATTTTAATTAAAAGTCTAGCTTTTAAAGAACTTCAATACTGCACCAAAGAGAGCTCCTTGCTGTTTTATTTGACTACACTTTAAACTATGGGACCACTGTAATGCTACAATGTAAAACATGTAATAACTGAGAAGGTGTTTGAAAGTATCATCCTTAAGTTTTCCAGGATTTCTTTAGAATTCCAAGAATTTCTTTAGAATTGTTTAAAATTCCAATTTCTTTAGAATTCCAATCTATGACTCTTAGTCACCAATTATTCCCAGAAAACATCCATTGTACTCTCAATGCCCAAGGCTGTCCTGGCTATTGAATTCCGCAGATGGAATGTGCATAAACTCTTTCAGGCCCTGAGTGGTTTGCTGGTAGTCTGAAAGAATTGATGTATTCCCCTGAATGTCTGGTTTAGGACAGAGATTTAGGCCTTAAGAGAATTGGGGCCATAAGGAGAGGAAGCTGCCCAGAATCACAAGGTCATGAATTTGCTCCCAGCCTCAACAATGACTTATCACATCAGTGGGGGTAAAATACTTGGCACTGCCTCAGCTCTGGCCTTCTGGGTGACACAGCTGCTGACTCCACCTCGCTCATTTTGCTCTAGACACACTGTCTAGTCCTTCCCGTTCTGTAACACACCAGCCTGTTCCCATCTCAAGGTTTTTGCACTCTTTCTTCTGCCTAGTCATCTGTTCATTTGCCTGCTATGACTCATACCACTTACCAATATCTGGCATTTTATTACGTATTCCTCTTCCCTAATATGACCTCCATGAGAGCAAGGACTCTTTCTTATTCATATGGCATCCCCAGTGCCTTGAAAAGTATTTGAAGCTTAATGGATATTTGCTGAGTAAACGAATGCATGAACAAACACACAATACGGTTACCACTCATTGTACCGATGTGACTGGAATATTGCACTAACGTAACATCCACAAGTACTGCATTATTCCCCCAAGAGGCTGAAGAAGCCATGCCACTGTAAGCAGAAAATATGAGCTATTTCCATTCACCCCCTAAGGGTACGTTGCCCTGTCTGGATCCTTGTACTTGATGACCAATTCCTGGTTTCCAGCAGTGTCTGTCTGCTGTCTTCCTACTCCATCAGCCTGTAGAATATAGGCTACCATTTCCCCTTCATTAAAACACTTCCACCCTTAATATTTCCCCTAGAGAACAAAACAGTATCTTCCATGATTGATTTTCCTCTGTTAGAGACTATTTACTGCCTCTGTTGCCCATCAGAAGATTTGTGTTAGGATTCCTGGCCATCTTCATATATTGCTGGTACAGGTAAGAATGGGAACCATGAGGAAGAGGAAAGCATATGGGTCGACATCAGACAATGAGAGCTGGAATGAACCCCGGGGATCATCAGACAGGGAGAGCTGGAATGACCCCTGGGGATCATCTGCCAGCCCAGGGACCTCATTTTAGCGATAAGGAAACCGAGGCTCAGGGAGGACACACAGCTTAACTGAGGCCACAAACAGAGGAGAAGAGAAGGGGACAGACCCCACTATGCAAAAAGCCTATGCCGTCTTTAGGCCGGGACATGCTTCTAGTTGGTCTGTTTATAATTTCTAAGTAAAAGTCCTCACTTGTTGCTTATAGTAACCACTTACTTCCAGGCGTTTCCAAGGACGACCTCATTAACGTGACGCTGGGTGGAGGAGGGGGAGGACGGACAAGCTAATTAAAGGCGCTCGCTGCTCTAATGCCATCACCCTACATAGAGGATCCGACAGTTGTACATCACACACATCAAAGCCTAGCGCTGGGCATGTGCAGAGACAACGAATCTACACTGTGCATCTACCTTGGAAATAACTACAGAACAAATCCCACAACTTCAGAGAAAATGCTAGGCCATACTTTCTAACTAAGTCATTTGTTGTCTTTATGCCTCACCATATCCAAGTGTTTCAGAACTACCTACCAGAGGGAGACAAAACGTGACCAAGATAACTTGTTTATTATTAATCTTACTTGCTGGTTGACAAATATATTTCCTGTTTTTAGCAGGACAAAGTATATTTCCTTAAAGGTATTTCTTTCTCGGAAAATCCTAACTACAAAAGTAGGGGACAAAAGATTGTAAAACAAAAATATTTCCCAAACACCTGGTTAGACACTACTTTTATTAAAATCTCACAAGTGAGAAGGTAACCAATATACTTCATTACTGGTTTCAGATCCACCTCACTTAATACTTTACGATTAAAAATTAAAGAAAAAATTGGGTAAATATATATTTTTGAGGAAAAAGTGAGCAGGAGAGATATAAATTAATAGGTACATGTGTCAGGTATATTTCTCTCGTACTTTCAAAAAAAAATTAGAAAACTTACAGCAAAAGATAAAGAATATAATTAAAAGCCACAGAGGGAGCATGAGGAACAAACAAACCCTCGATTATTACCATTACTACTGCTGAGCATTAAATTTAGCTCTAGATTTCCTGAAAATTAAAGCCAAAATGGGAAACATAACCGTACATACAATTCTTTTCTGATAAAAAGAAAGCATGCTGGTTCATGAGAGGAATTTGCCCCCTTGGAACTAAATTCTAGAAAGAACATGTCATCCTTGTGGAAGAAAACTCGAACAAATGGATAACGGATTCAGTGATGTATTTGTAGAACCAGCACAAATGTTCACGGCATACTCAATAACCAAGAGCAAAAAATAAGCCTTGCTCGTAGGTCTCAAGATTTCATTTACTTTCTGTTTGCTGCCACCCCCCCTCAAACTCAGTCTCACTGAAGATGCGGCTACAAATATGAGGTGCGACCTACGAACCACCAAGAGGTGTAGGTCAAGCACCACTGAGGAGCTGGTGCCTCCCTGACTGCATCTATGCAGGGGGCCCCCCTTGAGAAGTGGGCAACTCTCTCCTGGGTGTTCATGGTCAACAAGCAAAACTGGAGAGAGGTCTCAAAACTCTGGTCCAGATGGCTTGCAGTTTGAAGGCTTCATTTTTATTAATAAAATCTGCCAGAGAGTTCGATGATGTTCTTAGACTGCCTCTGTTACTGCTCTAGTTAATTTTGCTTTTGGAAGTGTCTGGGGTGGAGGCGGGGGCTGTGTAAAGGGGTTTGGAATGGCAACTTTTCACTAAAGTCAAAGTAAATAGATATATGCCTGCCTACTTAAATATTTCTTCAAGTGAGAAACAAAAACAAGAAATCACCTTCAGAATCTCTTCAACACAATGGACTTCACTGGAGTAGGTCTGCTGAAAGTGAAAAGGAGGAAGAAAATATTAGTATACACAAACAAAAACAAAACACACACAACTAGAGTATTCCATGCTGGTATTAATATAGCAACTCTCATAAGTAAAATCACGTCGGCCTACCTTTTACTAGCTAAATATTAGGAACGTCACATTCTGGATGAAATAAGACAGAGAGATTAACTGGACCTAATCGTGGGGGACAAATTATGACCCCCAGGTCAAAAGTTTCCAATGGAAAATGTACATAGTTAAGAAAATTAGTATATTCTTAAATCTAGGGGAATAACGAATATAACCAAAGTAGAGATAGGCAGAAGGAGATAAAACCAGTGTCACAGTTTGCTCCTTCATAGCAACATCTGTTCAGTGAGCCAAATTAAATGAACACAAAGATGGCAATGACCTGAACACCGTAGCATACGCCCACACAGTAAGGAGGCCAACATCCAATTAAGGAGAGATTTCTTGGCACTATTTTAACCTGCCAAAGATTCATTTTAAAGCTAAATGTCTCTAGCCCTACTTTGAGTCAGCATTTTGACCTTTTATATGCACACTATATACACACAAATATGCAGAGACACACACACACACACACACAGTGTTTCCCCAGAGAAAGACCCTAAGGAGAGAGATTACCTGGTGTGTTGGAGAACAGGTCCACTACTTACACCTCTTTGCTATCCCCAGCTAAACATATGATGGCTGCTGCTGTCAGACTATATCTAGGAAACATCATTTTATGGTCTTTATATTTTTAAGTGCAAAGAAAATGGAAAAGTTAAATCTTTTTTTTTTTTTCTTTTTAAAAAAACCAAACCTTTCCTTAACTAGGGACATGAAACAAAACCCATAACGTCATGGTTTTCAAAGGAACAGTAACTTCTAGTGTGTGTCAATTCATGAGCCAAGTGCCTGGGCAAGTTCCATACAACAAACACCCCTCCCGTTGCAGCCACTGCCGTGTAGAAAGCGCTAGTCTGCTCGTCAATTTGGTGCAGTATCTGACTCACAGCTAAAGTAGATGGAAAAGAGCTCTTTTCCTGGCTCTTGTTTCTAATGAGTGTAATTTAATACAGCACTGACTGCTAGTGCATGAATTAGAGTTTATAAACCTGTTTCCCTAATTCCAGTCTATTCAAAGGAAGGAAGGAAAAAGAAAGAAAAGAACATATATAACATTCACACTGTCCTGGAACTGAATCCAGTGGGCATGTCAAAATTCCAATGTGATCTGACCTGCCTGGGTCTGGTTTTAAAGCATGTGCATTTCACGGAACAGGTTTTATTGAAATGTTTGCAGTCTGTTATTTTTGAGGTGGGGTCTGGAAGTATAAGCAAAGAATCACGGGTCTCCCTTTTATCTGCTGGTCCACCTAGCCTGACTTTAGACATTATGCGCGTCAACAACTAGACCTGCTTACCCAACTTTCCATTTTCAAAATCATTAGGGGATGCCTAAAAACTGAATCAAACATTAGTAACCAAACATTGTAGCAGGAATGTCATACTGTTTTATCATTTCTGCTAAAATGTCAAATATTTTAGAGAAATGAATGCTGTTTTGACCTAAGGGTAAAATGTAATTATATTCTATGGTCTCAACTTTTCGCATGCATCATTAGGAAAAATAACAATTAGGAGTTGAAGGTGAATCAACAGAACAGAGCATATGACTGCGCTGACTCTGGTCAAATAGTCCCCTCATCCTATCTGTTGCTGGAATGAGAAGGGGAGTCCGATTAAAATATGTGGCAATCAAGGTTGCAGGTTTGATCCCCGTTAAGGACACATACAAGAATCAACCAATGAATGCATAAATAAGTGGAACAACAGCCCTAGCCGGTTTGGCTCAGTGGTTGGAGCATTGGCCCAGGTCTTGGTTCGATTCTGGTCAAGGGCACGTACCTCGGTTGCAGGCTTGATCCCCAGCCAGGTCTGGGTGCATGCGGGAGGCAGCCGATTGATGTGTCTCTCTCACATCACTGTGTCTCTGAGTCTGTCTCTCTCTCTCTCTCTCCCCCACTCTCTCTGAAGAGCAATGGAGAAAATGTCCTCAGGTGAGGATTAGAAAAAAAAAAGTGGAACAACAAATCTCTCTCAAATCAATTTTTAAAAATTTATTTTCAAAAATCTGGCAATCAATGAAAAAGTGAAGCATGTCGGAATTAGGGCAAAAAAGATTTGCCCACTGCTTCCAACAGAATGAGGTAAAAAAGCTACAACTTCAGAACACTAAAAGATTTTCTACTCTTCATAATTACTCAAGTGGTCAACGCATAGCGAAGATGTTTCATGTCATTAAACGGTTCATTTTTTTCTAAATTTTTATAACTTTAGATGAACCAAGACTGAAGAAATTTTTCTATAGCTTATTGTTTATTAGTATCAGGGTAAGATACATATTGCTAAACAATCACCATATAACCTATTAAAAACTCTAAATAAAGTCTTAGCTTCAAGCATTAATTGGTTAATTTACTGTGAACTTTCCTATAAGATTCATTATGGAAGTGGGAATGTTTCAAAGGGGCTTGGGGATGCCATTTCAAATACCTGAGAATATATCATATTTACAGATCTCTAAGCAGCACTGTTTACAATGGCAAATAACCAGACATGATCAATGACCAACAACAGGAGTCCAGCTAAGGACCTTTGCAGTATGACCAGCAGCACGTCATGTAGACCTCAAATAATAACGTAAATATATGTGTTTGCATGGAAAGATGCTAAGATATGCATTTAACTTTTTCTTTAGAAACTTCATACTTACAGAAAAATTCAAAAACAGTAAAACAAATTCCTACAAATCCTTCATTCAGATTCCCCAGATGTAGGCATTCTAACATGTTTGCTTTATAGTTTTCTCTATACCCCACCCTGCAGCCCCTCTCCCACATCTACACTGAACTGTCTGAAAGTAAGTTAGAGAATTAGAGTTAATGCCCCTTTACCCCTAAATACTTCTGTGTGTACCAAGATACATTTTAAAACTGCAATTAAAAGAGGGAGGTAAGAATACAATCTGTATAGCAGTAGCCCATTTTATGTTCCACCTACTGGAGACTCGTAGCTCCACTCTTCCCCCAACCCAAATTAGAGACTGAAACTAGAGTACAGGTATTTCAGATGTGTTTGCAGAGAAAGATCTGGAAAGACAGGCTGCCTTGTTTAATCAAGTACAACTTGGCACCTCCAAGTCTGCCACTGGGAGGAGACTTTCCAAAAAGGGAGGGGTGGTTCAACAAACCATTATGGCCTAATCCCTTCCATAAAATCCACTCTCCCCACGGGTTCTCCAGCTGAGCACTGCCACTGCTGCTCAGGCTCTCACCCTTTAACACTGAGGCCAAAGAGTAAACAATCAGCCTGAAGCACAGCAGAGTTAAGGCTGAAGATCAGGTCAGACGTCCTCAAAGATCTAAGCTAGTTGCAGGAACCAGGAAGCTCTAGTTTGCAGGGCACTTAAAACTGCAAATCTCACTGTTGTCTCTCTCTCAATATCTAGGTGCCTAGAGGAGATAGCATTCCCCTCCCGGTGCCCTGTATGTAGACAGATCTCCCAGTAGAGACCTCACTTCCCTACTGGGGTATGGCCTTAACAAAAGAACCAAAATTCATTCAACTTTTAAAAATAATAGCGGTGGCCCTGGCCAGGCAGCTCAGTTGGTTAAAGCGTTGTCCTGATACTCACAGGTTGTGGGTTCAATCCCTGGTCAGGGCACATATAAGGATCAACCAATAAATGCTTAAGTAAGTGGAACAACAAATTGATGTTTATGTTTGTTTCTCACTCAAATCAATAAAAATAAATTTTAAAAACAGCTATTTATTGAATATATTGTACTTGATATAGCACTAAACTCTACAGACTATTATTTCCTCCATTTGGTATCATCTATTGCAAGATGCACCATCGTTAGCTTGACAGGGGAAGAAAGCTACGGCACGAAAGGCACCCATCAACCCTAGACCCACCCCTTATGCAGAAACTTCAGACCAGGAAAGGCAGCAGTGCTGGCCTTGGTCTGATTCCTCGCTCCTCTTGGGGTGACACTGTGTCGTCATAAGGAAATGCACTGAGACCAAAATAAAATGTCAGTAAATGTCTTCTACGCATGACATGGTTTGTTTTAATAAGCTAAAAAGAGCTGGACAGAAGAAATATATCTCACCACTGAGACTAGGAGGCTCTCGCAATACTGTGTTTTAAGTCTCTCAAGTTTCAACAGGGCAGCACTTTTATAACAATGTGATTCTCAAAAAGGCTTAGTTATCACTAACCAGGAGCTGCAGGGAGCACCAAGGCAGCACCCTGAGGGAGGGAGCCAAAAGATCTTGGATTCTAGTTCTGACTCTGCAGCCCTGGATAAGATTCAACTTGTTTGGGACTGCTTCCTCATGGTGAAGGCATAACATTACCAATCCGAATCGCTCCACAGAATTGGTATGAAGAACTTTAACATCCCTGATTCCTTCCTCCTGAAACTGCATGTGCTCCCACAGCTGTATGTGCTTTCCGGTCAAAGCACCCCACGTTTTCTCTCTGCTGCTTCCAGATTACAAGTTCTGTAAGAGCAGGGAACTGTTCCACCTTGTTGAATCACCAAGCACACGCTGCCTGCTGGTAGGTGTTCAGTCTCAGAACTCAAATATGAAAAATAAGAGCTTCAAAGACTTACTAAACGTTGCTCCTTGTCTGAATTATAAGCCAACATCTTAATTAGCAAACCACATGGAAATAAGCATATTAGGGACAAAGAGGAAATTGTTTTGCATTGTTTTCTCCTTAAAAGCTTTGAGATACTTTTAGAAACTATTTTCGCATATCAGATTGGCAAACCAAAAAACAAAGTACTGACAATACTGAGTATGTCTATGAGATAGACGTGGGGAAACAGGCACTTGAACGCGGTGGTTGGTATGAGGGTAACGTGGCACAGCTTCTGAAGACAGAAATTTGGCAACAGTTACCAAATTCTAATTTCTCAGCA